TCGGCAACGAGATTGGGACAAGCACATACAACCGTTTTTGTTGTCATATCGAAGCGCTGTTCACGAAAGTACATCAGTGACACCAGATTTCGCAAACTTTGGGAGAGAATTACGGCTGCCTGCGGACCTGATCACCGGGATACCACCTGATGCTCCACGCAGTATAACCGATTATGCAAATGACTTGCGGAACAAAATGAATGACGTTTATGAGCACGTCAGACAATCGGGCCAGCAAATGTCTGAAAAGATGAAAACCCGGTACAATCGCAAAATGAACAACAAAGGGTTCGACGAAGGTTCACTAGTGTGGTTGCACAATCCAGTCCGCAGCAAAGGGAAATCTCCTAAGCTTCAAGCTAAATGGGACGGCCCGTACCGGATTGTGACCAGGATCAACGATGTAACCTACCGGATACAGAAAGGCGCAAGAGGGACTCCTAAGATCGTCCATATGGATCGCCTGGCGCGTTATTATGGGGCCGATAATGCTCGGGACGAGCATGTCTTAGGAGGGGGCAGTGTTGCGCGGCTAAGTTGACATCTGGCACTAGCGCCATCTAGAGTCGGGTAACGGAGCGAGGGGAGAGCTTTCCAGAAAATGACATCACTAATCTTTCAACCGACAGCGCCATCTGTTGTCGAAACGAAGAACTAAGCTTTCGGCGCTTTGTCGATTGGTGCGCGTATTTACTTGAATGTTCTGTATGATTCGGTACTAATGTGTATTTATAAGCGCTGCAAGGTGCGATTGGGGAAGTATTGAATTTGGCGAGACAAGCGAAGCTTCGGAGCGGAATAAAGTGAATCAGTGTAATTAATTGTTAGTGTTTTATCATCTAGCATCAACATCAAGTGGTAGGAAAAGAATATAGAAGCAGGTTCCATTTGTAGATAAACTGCATAACTATCTTCCCCTGCCTACAAAAGTAGTAAGGCGTGACTACATAGATAACGAATTTATAGAAAGGATATCTCACTGCACTAACTTATATTACTTACGTACTACGGGCTTTGAATTGAAAAGTACAAGTAGTGAGATCGCAAAGCTCCTTGCAATACAAATAATCATGGGATGTGTTCCTTATCACCGACTGCCTATGTATTGGAGGGCTGGTACTAGGTTGGAAATTGTGAGCGGTTTAATTTCGCGGGACAGGTTCTTTACCCTTCGCAATTCACTACACGTAGTTGACTCAGATTCTCCATCTGCATCCGAAACTAGTAATCCACTATGGAAGGTTCAACCTATGATCGACCAAATTAAAGGTGCTGTAGTAAATTAGAAAGGGTGCCGGGATTTTACTCGATCGACGAGGAAATGATACCATTTACAGGCCGCTGTCAACTTCGCCAGGTAGTGAAGAACAAACCTAGGCCTGTGGGGATTAAAAACTTCGTCCTCACAACTCATCATCATCATCATCATTACAGCCCTTCATAAGTCCACTGCTGAACATAGGCCTCCCCCAAGTAATGCCACAAAGCACGGTCCTGAGCCACCTGCATCCACCGACTTCCTGCATGTCTTACCAGGTCGTCACTTCATCTAGTGGGGGGTCGCCCTACACTACGCCTACCGGTACGAGGCTGCCACTCGAGAACCTTTCTTCCCCATCGGTTCTTCGAGCTATATGGCCGGCCCATTGCCACTTCAGCTTACTAATCCGTTGGGCTATGTCGGTCACTCTGGTTTTACTGCGGATATCTTCATTTCTGAGTCGATCACGCAGAGAAACTCCGAACATAGCCCTCTCCATAGCTCGCTGAGCGACCTTGAGCGTCCTCATACGGCCAGCAGTGAAGGACCACGTCTCAGATCCGTAAGTCATCACTGGCAACACGCACTAGTTGTACACTTTAGTTTTCAGAGATTGAGGTATACCTGACGAGAAGATGTGCGTAATTTCCCGAACGCTGCCCAGCCGAGTTGAATCCGTCGATTGACCTCTCGGTCGAAGTTGGACTTACCTAGTCGGACTATTTGTCCCAGGTAAACGTACTCGTCCTCACAACTAGTGAAGGATTAATGTTAGATTTTGAAATATACAGGGGTGCAAGGACGATGTTTGGTGATACGAATCTCGGTCTGGGTCCTTCGGTAATCTTACATCTAGCAAAAAGTATTCCCCCAGGTAACTGCGTTTACCACGATAGATATTTTACCACCGTTCCTTTGATTGAAGAAATGAACAAGTTAAATCTGCATTCGACTGGGACAATAATGTTGAATCGTATCCCTGATCGAGCAACAATAAAATTTAAAATGGATTCTCAAATGAATCGTGGTGAAAGCCAACATTTTGTTTGCGAACCTGTTACAATAGTAAAGTGGAAAGTGGAAAGATAATAAATCCGTATTACTTGCATCCAACTGTACTGGCTCTGCCGCGACGATTATCGTTAAAAGGTGGGATAAAACTGTTAGACGGTACGTTGACGTGACTGCTCCAAAAATAGTAAAAAATTATAATCAACACATGGGAGGAGTTGATGTCCTGGATCAACAGATGGAGTGTTATAGAACTTTTATAAAAACAAAAAAAATGGACCTTAAAATTGTTAACACACTTTTTTGACCTCGCGCTCGTAAACTCTTGGAGGCTGTATAGAAACGACTGCAACAGAAACAATTATACAAGGAAAGACACGATGCCTTTACTCGATTTCCACTTGGATGTGGCAGATGCCTTTATCTTGTACACCAAGTAGAACTCGAAGGGATAGTGAAGATGATGACCAGGTATCATCTCCTAGTCGTGGCTATAAAATATACAGACCAGCAAATAGACGGGCAGCAGAAAAACGATATGATGGGTATGACCATTTTCCCACCAGCGACGACATAAAAGCGCCGAGGACTTGTAGATTGGAAACCTGCAGCAGTAGTTCAAAAATTACGTGTGATAAATGTAATGTGTATTTATGCTTATCCCGTGATAAAAATTGTTTTAAGGCTTATCATATACAATAATAAGTCGATCTCATTGATTGTTATAAGTAAAACCTAAGATCTTGTTGATGGTTGAAGTAATTATAGTTTATTTTTGTTCCGATTATAGAAATTAGGAAGATCTCATCTGTAATACGTTATTTTATAAATAATTACAGTTTATTTTTATATATAATTGTAATACAGACTGATTAAAGTAATAGGAAAACATAAATATTCATATTTTATTTTAATTGGTATTTATTATTTCATTTATTTGACCTAAATCATTCATTATTTACATACACTCACGATCGTGCGACTAGCAAATTATTCCTGAGCCTCATGAATGTGAGGGTCTGATTGCTGAAGACCAGCTTTCGTGTGACTTTTTTCAGTAATTTTTCCATGACATCTGATTAGTTTTGAAACGTATTCTAAGTTATTACTAATGTATGCGAGTTTTTTAACTCCTGGTTGCAAAGGGATAATAAAACTAACTAAACACAATAAAATAATTATTAATTAGTTCTTGTCTGACGCTGTGATTTTGATGACCTATCCCTTCAGGTTACTAATCCTAGGTAATGTCATCTGATTCATGTGGCATTGTAACTTCTGGATCCACATCCCTTACATTATTTAATCTGCAGATATTGTGTAATGCAGAGGTGGCAATAATAATGGTCTGAGTGGTCTACAGAGCTACAAGGATTTTCAGAGAGAGTATAGGAAAGCACCTTTTCCACACACCAAAACATCTGAAAAGTTCAAAGTATTTTACATTATATTCATGAAATTTTAGAAATAAAATGTTAATAAATTTATATTAATATTTACATTTTAATAGTATTTCTAGTCTTTATATGTGCTTCATTATAACGATTATCTCCGACAGACGCACTGTCCCCAAGAAGCCATCTATTGCCAAACGATACCTCTTCACATTGCACTGCAAATAAATGAAAAATATTAGTCATGTTTATGTGATGACCTTTTAATAACCTTATAGATACCAAGTACCTACTTACTTTTTAGCATAGAGTTCTTAAATATTGTAGCATCATGAGCAGAACCAGGCCAATTGGCAACAACATTCATAAATAACAATTCTGCGTTACAGACTCCTTGTACATTAATTGGAAATATGCCTTTTCTGTCTCTGAATTTTTCTCCCATATTTGAATTTGTAAAGAATATGATTCTGTTATAAGGCATAATCTATATAAATGAATGAATCTATACTTACTATATATAATAATAAAAAAAAATATGTGTGGCACACGGGGACTGCCACGGTAAAGCTATTGCACAGCATTTTTATCAACTTATGCAATTATAATTATTATTTATTTTATTTATGCAGTATTTTTTTTCTTTGATATTAATTCAAGTTACACTTTTTGAGCGTGGTGACCGATAAGAAAACAATTTTTTTTTCTTTTATTGAATAAATGAGAAGTTAATATTGTTTAAAATATTTTTATTATCTTACAATAGATGTAGGTTATTCAGGAATTTTTGTCATTGAAACTATAGGTTTATGGTAATTAACGAGTTCTTCCGACAAACGATAATTTTCTATAGTCTGTATTTATTAAATACTCTAAATTCGCGAAAGAAAAAGAAAGAAGAAAGCCAGCGGCAAGCAAGAGAGTTAAAACGAAAACATAGCCCGAGCCCGCCCGAGCGCAACCGATCCGCGTCGTTCGGGTTTTGTCGCTACTTCTACGTACCAATTTTTACTTCGAGTGCATTGGATTAGATACTACAATAATAAAATCAGTTTGGTGACAATTTGATTTGAAAATTAGAAAAGATTCTATAAAAATTTTGCAAGTGACTATGTACATGCTGTGATTTTGATTTAGATACCTACCTACCATTTTAGGTTTTTGTTTGTTTATTGTGCGTTATGTTATAACAGTAGGTAAGTAGGTATTTAGTCAAGTTTTATTAATATTCTCGTATTGTGCCTGTCCAAATCAATTATTTTACTTTACTTACCTACATTTCATATTAAAATCGTTAACTGTAGTTTAAAAGTTAAAACTCTTATTGTTTTAGTATGGCCCTCAGCAAACCTAGTACATCAAAAATAAAGGATAACTCTCACACGTTTAACGAAGAATGGGAACCAAAATACTTTTTCACCAAGAGCAAAGCCCGCAAACCAGTGTGTCTCATTTGCTCAGCAACAGTAGCTGTTGCTAAAAAATATAATTTAGAGCGGCATTTCAAACAAAACCATGCGAAATTCGAAAAAGAGTATCCAGTGGGGTCAGCTTTAAGGACAGATTTTATAAAGAAAAAGAAGAAAGAACTATTTTCACAGCAAAATATTTTTGTAAAACAACATGACGAATTGGAAGCCATGGTCAAAACATCGTATGAAATATCTTTACTCTTGGCTAAAAAGAAAAAGCCGTTTTCTAATGCGTACATTATAAAACAGAGTTTTTCCGCAGAACTGCAAAGATCAAAGGGTTAAAGCCATGGCAGATAGTATTTCACTTTCGCGCAACACAGTAATGAGGCGAGTAGAAGAAATGTCAACCGACATTATCAGTCAAATTACAGAGTTTGTCACTAAATGCAGATATTTTTCACTTGCATTGGACGAAACCTGTAATTTAACAGGTATGGTGCAGTTAGCTGTTTTTGCACGCTGTATTGATGACAATTTTAATATATTTCAAGATTTATTGGACCTCTGTCAACTTGAAACTACTACCACAGGAAAGGATATATTCCTAAAAGTCAAAGATTGCGTTGAGGGTAAGAACCTAAACTGGGATAAATGCAATTCAGTTTGCACTGATGGAGCACCTGCGATGATGGGGAAAACCAATGGTGCTGTGGCTTAGCTGCAAAATCACATCGGTCGACAATTGTTTTCTTATCATTGTATTATCCATCAAGAAGCTTTGTGCGCTAAAGACATGACGTTCCAGGATGTGATTGACCCAGTAGTACGTTGCATTAATTTCATACGTGCCAGAACACTTAACCGCCGACAATTCAGAATGTTGTTTGAAGAAGAAATTAAAGAATACGGCGAATCACATCTCTATTGCGCTATTCGCTGGTTATCCAAGGGCGAAATGTTGAAACATTTTTATGATTTGAGGGACCAGGTTCTGGATTTTCTGGAAGAAAAACAAGCATTACCAGCAGAGAGAGCTCGGCTTAAAATTCATTATGACTTTGCTATCTTGCATTTGTAGTTGACATTATGAAGTACCTTAATGTTCTGAACCCTAAATTGCAAGGAAAAGATTGTTCTCTTCCGACAATGTTAAACTTGATCAATGGTTTCAAAGAGAAGTTGAACTTGTTTGCAGCAAACTTAGAGAGAAATAAAATCGACCATTTTTCCACACTTGCAAGTGTAAAAGAAGGGTTAAAAAATCACTGCTTTTGATATCCCGAAGTACCTATCAAAAATAAAATGTTTAAAAGTCTTTTGAAAACAGATTCTAGGATTTTGAATGACAAGAAAAATATTAAGCTGTTTATGAATCCTTTTTCAATCAGTTCTACTGATCTGCTTGAATATCCAGCAAACATTCAGCTCGAAGTGACAGATCTTCAAAATCACACTGCCCTTAAACAAGTTTTCTCCGAAAACGTACCTTCAGAGCAGCTAACAGAAAGTTTTGGAAAAAAGTTTCTAGTGAAGATTTCCCAACTTTGCGCGACCTTACAATGCAAATTTTAAGGTTTGGATCAACCTATGTGTGTGAAAAAGCATTTTCAACTCTATCATACATTGAAAATAAATATCGTACATCTCTCACCGCAAAACACATTTCGAATTTGATTGTACTATCAACTTCAGACTTAAAACCAAATATCGACAAATTACTATCAGGAAAACCTCTTCACAGCTCATATTAACTTTAAAAAAAATGTTATTTTATTTCATTTACAAATAAAGTACATTATAGCATATTTTGTCTTTATTGTGTATAAATTACCTTATGAATATGGGAGTAACGGCGGCCCGGCGCCGCCACAGTCTAAGAAATTTTGCTCACCTGGAAAATCTACTAGACTGCACTAAAAGTATCGGGAATTGAATATTGCCACTGTTCCTGTAATATTAAAATATTTTTAATTGAAAACTCCTTGGTTTTAAAAATCGAATACCATTTATTTATTTAAAAAAAGATTCTCGGTCTTGTCACAAGGTTTTGTCAAACTTGTTTAGTCGTTGAGAAAATGGAATTGACGCGAGAAAATTCAAGAGCGATGATTTATTATGACTTTCGAAGTGGTTTAACACAAAAACAGTGTGTTGACCGGATGATTTCCGCATTTGGTGATGAATCTCCATCCAAAACCACAATTTTTCGCTGGTTTGCTGAATTTCAACGTGACCGTGTCAAGCTCAGTGATGATTCCCGTCAAGGTCGTCCAAAAACTGCAGTCATCCAAGAAAACGTTGATGCTGTGCGTAAGCTGATTGAGAAAGATCGACATGTGACATACCGCGAAATTCAGGCAACTTTAGACATTGGCATGAGTCAAACTTAGATTATTTACTCTCTAGATAGAGTAACGGCGGCTCAAAAGCGTCGAAAAAAATATCAGCTAACTGTTAGCCTCTAAAGCAATCCCCACTCCTCATTGTCAATTGTAACGCCAAGAGATACGCATGCACGGCTCATTGTTTTGAGGTAAATTATTTTGGTAAAAATGACAAGTTGCGCGATCAAAATCTGCAGAAATTACAAAGGACGTTTACAAACAAATAACAAAATCTCCTACCATCGGTAAGTAACTCAAAACTAATAGTAATTTACGAAAACAAAACTAATAAATTGATAATTATATTTACAAAATCAACGCGTCATTTTTTGGTGTTGCCAGTCTTGGATTGCGAATTTCCCCATATAGTTGTCTTAAGAGCTGATGTATGCTCATTTTTACCGACTTCATCAAAAGGAGGAAATAAATCATGTTGCGTGTATGTATGTGTATGTGGGTACATTTCAAAAATTGTTTGACTGAGCCTACAGCCTAAATGGATGGACCGATTGTTTTTCTTTTGCAAGATTCCGCGCATTCGGGTGTTTTTATTTAGTCTTAAACATTTTTTCTTTATTTTTTCTCTTTTTTATTTGTATTACTAATAGTATTTTATAATTATTATCAAAATCGAATGTGACTATTTGGATACATGGTTTTAGGATACCTATCGATCCTATAATTAGAAGTCGATGGGTGGACATAATAAGAAAAAGCCGTGGAGAAGAGTTCTGGAAACCATCCAAAACCACAGTGATATGTTCTGAACATTTCCGTGAAAAAGACTTGTATTTTACAAATAATCAAGGCCGGCGAAGATTGAAAAAGGAAGCGGTACCGAAAAAAGTATGTTTTATTACGTACAAGCTGATGAAGACTATTATGATGATTTATATGTTTAACATTCTATTTTGACTACAGGCATTATTCTTATCATCAGTGAAATCCGACGAAAGTGATATCACTGATGAAGACGTTGAAATGACGATGGAATATAACACTGAAAAACAAAAGCCCATGAATTTGGTAAGTTTTTGTTATGATACCTACAGCAAATAATAAGGGAGCGTTATGCTAATCTGATTCATGTACAGGTAACGTTAATTTAACATTAATCCATAACAGTAACTATTCTTAGAAAATATTATTCCATTAAATATAATATTTTCTTTACTTGTTTATGCGCTCTTTAAAATCCGGAGAATTACTACTTGATTATCCAGAGTAGCATTTTATATCGTTTTACTATTACTATTACTACTATCGCTTCTTAAAGATCACAACATCGAAGCTATATACCTACTTTACTTTTGATTTCAGAATACTCCCGCATCAAATGAAGAGCCTAAAACTTCCTCCTCTATAGCATGCACCAATGTAGTGTGCACAGATACTTCGTCTCCTTCTATCAGTCGCGTAGCTCATAAAGTTTTGGCTAATAAAACAGCGAAATCTGAAAATGATATTGAAATAAATGAAGAGTTTTCAGATATAGATTCTATTTGTGACACTCCTAAAAAAGCAAAGTTGAGAAGAGAATTACGCAGAAAAATTCGTATCCAAAAGAAACATTCTCTAAAAATGCAATCGCTTAGAAGAAAAAATCTACGACTTAAGAAGAAACTTGCAACTTTCAAAGATATTCTTATTACGTTAAAAAAAGTGAGATACATAGACAATGATACGCATAACGTTCTAGATAGTAACGTATTTGCTGCTGACTTATATGCTACAATGAAAAAAAAGTTACAAAAAAAATCTAAGAGACCTGTATCTAAATATGCACCAGAATTTAGAAAATTTTGTTTAACTTTACATTTTCTGTCACCAAATGCGTATAGATTCGTCAGGAGTAAATTTGAAACATGCCTTCCTCACCCGAAAACCATATCGAAATGGTATGCAAATATCGATGGTTCTCCAGGGTTTACAGAAGATTCGTTCAAAATTTTGAATGCTAAAAGAAAACAATCCGATAAAAATATGATTTGCGCATTAATAGCGGATGAAATGGCAATTAGACAGCAGAAGTGTTTTAATGATAAAACTAAACAGTTTGATGGTATTGTTGATATAGGCACTGGTCCTAACGAAAATATGAGAATCAAAGCATCAGAGGCTTATGTTTTTTTGTTAGTATCATTAAATGAGCCTTGGAAATTACCAGTCGCTTATTTTTTAGTCCAAGGAATGACGGGAGACCAAAAAGCAAATATTATAAAAACTATACTTACCGAATGTCACGAAGTAGGTGTTGATATTGTATCATTAACTTTTGATGGTCACTCCTCAAATATGTCGGCTATGAAGATCCTGGGTTGCGAATTGAATGACCATAGACGGATGAAAACCACATTTCAACACCCATGCGCTGACTATAAAGTAGCAGTGTTTTTGGATTTCTGCCATATGCTGAAATTAATTCGAAATCATTTTCAATTGAAGGAAATCTTTTTGTACAAGAATGAGCAAATAATGTGGGAATATGTCAAAAAAATTATCAACTCCAAGAAGAAATTGGGCTTCATCTAGCGAATCGTTTGACCAAAAAACATATCGAATTCCGAAATTCTATAATGAATGTCAAATTGGCAACACAATTATTGAGGAGGAGTGTTTCTAAGGCAATACAATTTTGTCGACAAGAGCTGAAATTGTCTGGTTTTGAAGACAGCGAGGCGACAGAAAAATTCATAATGGCAATGAACAACGTTTTTGATGTATTTAATTCCAGAAACTTACAAGCATATGGCTATAAACAGCCCTTGAGTCCAAAAAATAAAGATGAGTTATTTACAGTACTGGAAGAAGTAAATGATTTAATTTTGAACCTATATTTGAAAGTCTCGAGAAAAAGAACTTTCACAGAACATGAAACAAAAAAGATAATAACTCTGAAGAGCTACACACCTGTACTGAAATCGAACTCTTTCACCGGATTTCTTGGAGTTCTAATCTGTATTAATAATAGTTTAAAAGCGTTATATACAACTATAATAGAATCACATAAAATGCAGTACTTATCCACATATCGCATCAGCCAAGACCACATCGAATTATTTTTTGGAGCGATACGTATGCATGGTGGTTATAACGATAATCCAAATGCCCGACAATTGAAAGGTAATATACAGAAAACTTTTGTGTCACATGGAGCTTAAATCTGCTGGTTCAGGAAATTGTGTGCCGCTAGAGAACATAAGTGTTTTGACGTGCTCTTCGGCACTCAAATATATTAATTTAACTACTCCAGCAACACGAAAAGATGAAGATGAGAGTGAAACGGCAGAAGAAAATATTTTGGATGAAAACGGAGGAAATGTATCTCGATTTTTAGATGATTCTTCATTATCTGAATATACACAACAGATAGTTGGTTACATTTCAGGTTGTGTTGTGAGATGTCTGCGTAGACAAATCAAATGTACTGCATGCATTGAATGTTTGTTTTCAAATGAAAAGCATGAATACCATAAGCTAGTTAGCGCACGGGATGAAGGCGGGTTGATTTATGCTTCAAGGGATGTATATTCTATATGTAAGACTTCGGAGACAGTAATCCGAAAGTTTCTTAGACAACATTTTATAATGACTAGGTCAACTTACACAAACATTTTATCTTGTGTATTAAAACAATTTATTGGTCATAAAAATATTTATTTTAAAGTTGAAACTGAACATGCGTGTGGTTCTCTTCACCAAGTGAACCTAATAAGACTGGTTGCCGAAAAATATTTGACCATACGCTGCTATCATGTAGCTAAATTAGATAATGTAAAAAGTGATGCAACCTCAAAACGCAAATTATTTAAAAAACTAATTCAAAGAGATGGCCCTTAAATTAGTAATTACAAACATTTAATTGTAAATAATGATAAGTTGAAAATAGAAGAGACTACTGTGTTCCTCGGGGTGACCTTAGATGAAAACCTTCAATGGGACACCCATATATCAGCTCTTGCTGGCACAACAATGCAGGACGGAATAATTCTTCTTAAAAGGATCTACTAAACTGTAGAAACGCTATGGGATAAAATTTTACGGTAAGGGTACCTGCGGGATAAATTATTTAACTATGATGCAGGCGAAGCCGCCGGCCAACTCTAGTATTTTTATAAGTCGATACCATATATTAAATAATAAAACATATTTTGTAAATGCGTAATTGATTTTTATTTGATTATATTTTTCTTTACAAAGAAAATTAGATACTAACTCAACAGATAAGTAAACACACAATTGAAAGCACCATATTAAAATATTATAATTTATGATCTTATTAAAATGACAATTTTACAGTTTTTCCCCATTTTATCGGGTTACATTCATTAGCTGGTATCTCCCAGATACAAATGACGCTGGTGTAAGTCATAGTTATTTATTCCGTCACCATAGCAACCGCTAAGCGTGTGTGCGTGCTTCACGCACACACGCTTGTAAAAACTGGCCTGTTTTTGTTGCATCGCTCATTGCGTGATGCGTTATCTAGAGAGTAAATAATCTAAGGAGTCAAATACAAATAATCTTGCATGAACAATTAGGTGTAAAAAAGTTGTTTTCCCGATGGATACCGCATTCGCTCTGTTAAGAGCAAAAAGCGGCTCGCGTTACTTGGTGCGTCAGAACTCTCGAAAGATTCCACGCAGGATCCTCAAATGCTGTATACAACATCGTATCAGGTGACGAATCCTGGATATACGCGTACGAACCCGAAACAAAAAACCAGTCACGAGTTTGGGTGTTCGAAAATGAGTTAAAGCCAACAAAAATTGTTCGTTCGCGGAGTGTTGCAAAAAACTACAACCGCCGCATCGTCCTCCATCACGACAATGCGAGTTCTCACACCGCACACAGAACAAAAGAGTTTTTAGGGCAAGAAAACATAGAATTATTAGACCATCCGCCGTACAGCCCAGACCTAAGCCCTTATGATTTCTATACTTTCCCTAAAATAAAGAATAAATTGCGTGGACAGAGATTTTCATCACCTGAAGAAGCTGTGGACTTCTACAAACGGCCATTTTGGAGACCCCAACTTCCGAATGGAATGGTTGCTTTAATGGTTCCATCATATGGAAAAATGTGTCAAATTTCGCGGAGGATAATTCGAAAAGCAATAAATACATTTTTAATTGTGTCATTTCCTTGATTCCCGAATTTTTCAGTGCCGCTCTCGTATTGGCCAGCCTTAGTCTAGTAGCACGCACACAAACACCGTGCCGAAATCTGCCAAACTTAAACGACGTTAGATGATGTTAGGTTTTCGAGTCTTAGGTTTTTTTCGTTACGGAATTTCTTGATTCGGTCGCCACGCTCAAAGTTCGCGATAAAAGCTCGCGCCAAATGCAGCGAAAAATGCAATAGCTTAGTAATTGTATGTATGTTTGTAGGTTTTATGATCTAATTCTGGCCATACTTGAATTAAGTTCTAGGATTGAGTTTCAGATCACTAGATGACCTTCGACAAAGCTTCTGCTTCTGCCTAGATCTAAATAATATAATATATTAAGCAAAGAGGGGGGGGAGCATAACAATATGCAGAAGAAACAGCGTTGGCGATAGCACGCGGCCTTGTGGAACACCAGCATTAATAGGCTTGTAATCGGAGCCTGCACCGTCTACAACGGCCTTGATGCTTCGATCTGCAAGAAAGCTGGTGATCCAATTGCACAATTTCTCGGGAATTTTCTCTTAGTTTGTATATCATTTTTTCACATTGATATTATCTTAATTTTTGTGCATATTATTTTGCGTATTATTTTTCCTTTCAGTAAAGTTCTGCGAAGAAGGTCTAACTTCAATAATGTTCGGAGCAGAGTCGCAAGACGCTTACTAATAAATTGAGAGAAATATTGGCCAATTTTTGAGTAAATTTATCCCAGTCGTACTCGGTAAAACAACATCGTTTATTTGCATTAAAAACTATTGACGATAAATTAAAAAAAATCATTATAAAATCTCTCGAAAAAAAAGGAAAACCTCGAGAAGTCAAAGAGGATATTACCTATAATGTGTTGGAGACGTACAACAAAATAATCATTAGAAAAGAGTGTAAAATTTTAGCCAACTCGTGGCCTGAATGGAATGAAATAATTACAAAATTAAATGATATATATAAAGAAAGTAATATCGATGTATGAAAGCCTGAATCTCTTTATTCCTACGTAACGCGTCACAAAAAAAACGTCAGGACAAAATCAAGTTTGGCTAGAGGAACTCAAGTATGTGACAAAAACGAACATATCGAGCATGATAAAATTGGTGGTAATGAATCACTCGTCGATGACTTGTATGTTACAAGAATGTGATATTTTAGAAGAACCTCTACAAAGTGATTCAAATGTGAAAAATCAGTGGTGAAGAAACACTACGATTACCCAAAAAAAGATCTAGTGTTGTTGACGTAGATCAGATTTATCGCTACAAAGATGTACTGTTGATAGGAAATCAAAAGACGATTATTATTTTTAAATGATATATGATCAATACTTGGAGTATTTAGCGAAAATCGAAGAGTGTTTAGTTTAGAAAACGCTTCGTGGACAGGATGTACGAATCAAAGCCTCCGATAAGAAATTCTGGATACGGCAAGATATAATTAACCACGATTTAGTCTAATTTTTATCATCACTAGCTAATGTTTTTCGGTTTATTTGAATTAT